GTAGTGTTTAGTTGCAGGCTTTGGGGGTTAGAGTTAGTCTGGCGAGATTCTGTCTAGCAGGTGCAAGCTAGTAAAGTAACTGAGCTGTTCTAGTACTGTCTCGTGGAGTTTCTTGGGCTGAGCCTGACAGCATCCCACATAAAAAACTGGCAGAGCTTCAACTGCGCCATCATGGCTGCCATCTTGACTTTTTAAACCACATCCTGGGAAATTCCTGTAAAACAATACATTGCCCAAACCTAGACAGTCTGAGAGTGTCAACTTTCCACACTGCAAAGGTGGAAATGTGGCATCCATTGTGTTCTCCACCACCTACACTGCATCTCAACTCCTCGTTTTTACAATCTTGTGAGTACAGTTTGAGCATCAGAGAGCATAAGCGCATTCTTCTCCAATGGAATGCTTAAAGGAGCTCGTGGTACGGCTGCTATTCCTTCCACACAGTTCTATGGATCCTGTAAATGTGACCACAAGATAAAAGCAACAAGGAAGGGCCACGGAACAAGGCTGTTAAGGGTTATGCTGTCGATGCAGTTTGTTTCTAAAATGAAAAGGACTGGTCTCTGACAAGCACAATCCCCCACGATGGGTTGCTCGGCCTTCCTATCGTAAAACATGGAGGAAGACACAGAGATCAGCAACCGTTAACTTCCTCAGTGCCGCCACCTTAAGCTTACACAAGTTTAAGAGAGCTCCCCACCTACCACGTGTGTTGGAATGAAATAAAATTATGCTTAGAAATGCCCCAAGGAGACCAGGGAAAACATTTTACAAACTCTCTAGAGCTGTGTCCTTTCATAAATCTGCTTGCTTTTCCAACCTGTCCCGGCATTTGAGCTCCTGAGATTTGGTAACAATGGGCCAAGCGAGCCGCAAAGCCTTCGAAACAGGTTGGCTTCCTGAACAACCAAACCACCAATGGAAATATTGCTAGCAGCTTTTGAGGGTTCAAATGTGGGTGGGTTATCTCACTTTAATCTCAGAGTCTTGAACGCCTGAGCTTTCAAAGAACAGGGCAGGGCTTATCTTCTCTCAGTCTTTAACTGATTCCTACTTCCTCCTGTCTCTCAATTTGTCTTGATTCATTTATCTTGACTGGGTATCATTTACCTTGTTCTGTTCCCACAAGCACAAGCACAGAGGGAAAGATCTTATGCCAGAAGTTGGCAACTAGCAGCCCAGCCAACTGCCAAAAATTAATCCTTTACTCAAGTCTCACGTTCAGGGTTCTGTGAGCCCCCGGGGGCTGCACTGCCAAATGTTAATTTCCCTATGCTTTGCAACACTTGTATAAATCTAAAATCAAGTGAATATAGCAGGAACTTGCATGATTTTGTCCATATTCTACAAATCCACCGGGGATTATCAGTCACAGCAACCCATCACCGTCTTCCAATCTTGGGAAAATGCTATTTTGGGCTTCTCCCAGATATTATATCTGCATTGCTTCAAACTTCCACAGAATAGCAGCCCTTCTGCAGCACTTGCTGGGCACAGTTGATCTGGGATACCACCAGTGGCAGTGTCTCACCAACAGTGCCCACAACATTGTTAGGAATATTTACCTTTAAAAAAAAAAACCCTGGATGTTCTGGACTTCTTTCAAGTACTCAGACACTATTCCACCCCACCCCCCAAAAAATTAAAAGGCAAAGAACAGCAGGCCCACCTTTTCTCCCCAGGCTCTGTTTACTTCCTGACTTTTGAATTGTTCTTTTTCCCTATGGAGGCTTTCCCACTGCTGGCACAATCCACGCCTAACCACATTTAATGGGCAGGTCACTTGATAACCAGGTAGGTTTCTCCCCTCGTTAAAGTGAGGGAGGGGAGAGGTACTTTCAGACTTGCAAGATTGAATGTCAGCCCTTTGAGGTAGTCCAGACAAGAAGCAGCAATCATGAGTACTCACAATATCTTTATTGTAAGGTTACAGCAACAAAATCTTGCAAGTCTGAAAGTACCTCTCCCCTCCCTTACTTTTACTCTCCCAAAAACAAGGGAGGGTCCCTTCTGAGATGCTTTCTCCACCCCCACCCCTCCTTTGGACTTGGATTTCGTTTATCAGACCATTGTCTAGGCTGCAGCTCTTCCTCCTGTCTCCCAAGGTCGTCCCCACGTTACACCCCTCTACCTGGATGTTGCAATATGCCTACAGGCTATCTAGCCTACTCAGGCAAGACATCCCAGTATTCTGATTAGATCAGGGCTTATTCAAAATATGATTGGGCAAGATTGTGTAGAAACTCAAATTAACAGCCAGGTAGTTCAGACAAATCTCCTGAATAATTTATATTACGCACTTTCTTTCCAATCTGAAGTGGCAGGATGCTTTCTCTACCACATTAAGCCACCTTAAATGCTTCTGTTTTTGCTCCATCTATGCCTCTTACAAACGTTTGCATGTGCTCTTTTTCTCTCAGTGCCTTTTAATCCCAAATTAAAAGTTATCCCGGATACAGCAGATCAAAATGTGAGTCATATTTCTGTGGTTACCCAGTATCATGATAGTATCTATCACGCAACCTGTCTTCAACTTCCTAACTCAAATATTTAAATGCACGCATCCACAAGAGGATCCACCCAATAAATACTGTCAATTTCCTTGTTTTGCAATGATATCAAAACAATATCCTTGTTTTTCTATAGTACTCTTTTGAGATACAGGTTTCTAAATTTTGTCAATGATTGCATTCAGTATGTTAAATACCACACACAGGGCTATGCTTGCTCCAATACATTTGTTTAAAAACACTGTCTAGGCAATCTAAACTCAAAATATTGTTGGTCATACATGATGTACTATTTTGCTCCACATATTCGGTTTGCTAGATATGGGGGGAGGGAAGGGAGATATTGAAACCCCAGGTCATCTAAAAAGTTATACTGCCCCAATTTGGACATTTCTGAGGCCTAGCCCACAGTCTATCAACCAATATGGAAAAGAAACTTAATTTTTAAAAAAGGAACGGAAAAAGAAAGGATACTTGTTTTAAAAATTAAGAATCCTTGAAATCTACCTTTTTAGCTAACTAACTTTTTCTTCAGCCCCAATAATATTATGTGCTGGCTCCCACAAAATTAAAGCATATGTACTGCCCTGCCATCGACTTCTAGATTACTCTTGGTTTAATGTCATCTCCTAAGATAAAAATATTTTTTAATGTTTCCTTGCCCGATAACAAACTGGTCTCCTAGTTCTCCTTTATCTGTGGTTGCGGTCACTTCATTTTATTTCTGGCACCCCTTATTCTAAAGAAACACAATGAGCACCATGTCCTCTCTGTTGTGGTTGACTTTATTTCATCAGTATCTTTCCATATTTGAATTACATTTCTTTGAACCAGAATCATACTCAAAAGAAAAGACTTCTCCAGGTTTGGGTTGGTCTGCCCAGACTTACGTTGGGTAATGTGCTCTATGATAGCCAGGGGTCACGGGTCTCTGAAGAGGCTCATCCACACTGTGACGGACACTAGGCATTGACTTCTTCCGTGCTTTTGGGGTGTTGGTCATGATCTGAGATGAGGAGAGAGAGAAGTTATTTGAAAGTAGAAATTCAAGAGCAGTGAAAAAAGGAGAAAGTTGGCCCCTATCCAGGCTACCATCCATTCAAAGGCCACCTGGAATGAGGAGGAAGAGGAGGAGGAGGAGACCACCACCACCAGGAGACAAGATGACATTCACTCATCTTCCTCTCGACTTGGCTGAAACCTTTGCCTTCTCATCTATTGATGGGAGGAGTTTTGAATGGTCCTGACCCTATTGGCCTTCTGGAAGGCCTTGAAGACCTGGCTTTTGCCCCAGCCACTGGGGCCAGAATGTTAGCAGAGTCCAACATGACTGTGCTTTGTTTTATGCTGTTAGAGAAATTTGGGTATGAGGGAGAATTGCATTCTGATCATGACAGATGGCTACCAACTTTTTGAACGGCTTAAGTCTAGCTTGCCATCTTCTTCTCTAGGTGTCCTCTGTCAAAGGCTTGAGAGAGACTTCAGTTGAATTTTAGTCTCAGAGCCCAGTTAAGCTGAATGGAGTCAAATAACTAGAAAGGGCAGAGTCCTATCACACAAGCAGCTACCAAGAACCGAGCCTTCCTTATCAAGTGTCTGAAACGAGGAAGGATTTGTGCTGTACATTTGTGGCTTAAGAAGGGCAAAAAAAAGCATTCATAGTTATTAAGGGATACAAGGACAGGATCGCACTTCATCACTTCAGTTATGATGAGGCTTAGCAAATAATGTCAGTTAGTACAGGGAGTCCTCAAGCTAAGAATGTTCAGTTTATGAATGACCCACAGTAAGAATGGAGCCTATTGTAACAAAATTCGAGTTAAATACACTTTTTTTTTTCACCGTAGCGTTTTTTCTGCATGTGGAAGGTCTGCTTTTTCCCCCCCAGATCAACTGAATGTTGATCTGTTGATTGAGACAGATATTGACCGACTGGCTTGTTGCCCGAGCCTGGCATCAGGGGCGGGGGGCATGAGCTGAGAGAGAGGGACTGGCCCAAAGTCACCCAGCCGGCTTTGATGCCTGAGGCGGGACAAGACTCACCATCTCCTGGTTTCTAGACTGGGCCTTAACCACTAGACCAAACCGGCTCTCCAAGTTAAATACACAATGATTCGAGTTAAATACATAATGTTAAATAGAGTTATATACATTTAATCACTGAGTTAAATACATAATGATTCGAGTTAAATACACAATGGTTCAAATTCATTACACAATACTACTTATAGCAGTGTTTCTCAACCTTGGCCACTTTAAGACGTGTGGACTTCAATTCCCAGGATTCCCCAGCCATGCTGGGGAAAGTGGCCAAGGTTGAGAAACACTGACTTATACAGTATTATACAATAATACTGTTCCAGCTTACAGACATATTCGACTTAAGGACAGATCTTGGGAACGGAACTTGTTCTTAAACTGAGGACTCCCTGTACATGATTGCTTGCATTTTATGGCTGAATGACCTTTTCCCCTGAACCAGCACATGCAAGTCTGTTTCAAACTGGGGGAACAAAGGGCAGGAGCTCAGAGGAGAACAGGTATTTAGCCTAGCTCTATAAGGGCTTTGGAGCTTTCTACTGTGTTGTACCCTAAACAATCCAAAGGCCCACTGGAATAGTACAGCTCGGCTTTAAGCAGAAAGGAGCTATCAGCCAGTCTTGTAAGCCATGGAGGGCAGTGCGCTGCTTAAGATTCAAGGTCCTGATGGTGCTCCAAATGAAATATACAAGCCCCTGGGGAAACAAAGATCTCTTTGCCCCACTCCACACGCTGGGTTTAATGAAAGCACAGGTCTGTGAATGTGTGAAGAGTAATTAGCACTTATGGCAGGTATGGGGAGCTTTTAAGCCCACAGAGCCACATCCCTCTGACCTTGCTCTGAAGTGTAGTTCTAGCACGTGAAGCCTTGTGGGCTGCGGAGTCTTGCTCTGTACTCAAATATCAAAGGAAGACATCCAGACACCCTTGACTGCTATACTTACTCCCAAATATTCAGTGGTCAGGAGTTTTTCGCCTGACAGTTCACCCTGCTGGGGCTGCAACACTTCATCTTTGTCCAGGTCTGCCTCCATGCCATTATGATCCTCCTGCCACGAGAAAGCACCAGAGAGTCACACATATATGGCGATGCACCTCAAAAGAGCTCAAGATCTCCTGAGCATACATGGCTCTCCTCCCCTACTAATTGTCTCTCACAGTAATTGTTCTGGTGAGTCAGTAAAGACAGGATGACAAGTTCAGCTTAGTTTGATTTGACATGGATGACCAAGAACTGATTCAGATGAAATGCCATGAGGAAACAAACAACAAATCTGCTTTACAGTAAATATCTTTATATCATTTCCAGGCTGGGAATTAACTCGTTATCTAAATAAAAAGAAGCATTCACCCGATCTTCAAATTTGAAAAGTGTAACCTACTGTTGAGCCTTGTGGGAATAGGAAAAGCAGATACAAAGAACAGAAACCAGCCAAATTCTCACTGCAGCAACTCAAGGCTGCAGCTGTCCTGAAGAAATCTTCCTTCTGAATCGCTAAATGATACTGACGGCAAGCATTAATCATTAGAGCTTTTACACTGTTTACGGAGAATACACAACTTTTATGCTGCACGCATGATATAGGCTCCCTAATTTTGCTGTGTCCCATAGGAACCGTGTGAGCCACAATAAAGGAGGAAGGGAGAAATTCAAGTGACCCGTTTAATGGAATAAATTAAATCATAAACACAAACTTTGAGGGAGTGATAAGCAAATGGATACACCCATTATCCGAGAGGTATGGACATTCCTGAACAAACCGTGGTGGGGAGGTCTCCTTCCCTTCGTCCTCACTTAGCTTCCAAGCCAGTCTTCATGGCATGGCTTATGGCTCCCTTAACCTGCCCAAATGCTCCAAGTGGCACTCTCCAGAATGCTAATCCATGGCTTGATTCTGTTTTGAAGATCCTTCAAATTCTAGTTTCTGAGACTGGTTTGGAAGCCAACCATGCTTTGCAGACCTGAACATCACATCCAATTATGGTTAAGTCGTAAACAGGGAGCTGAAAGGAGGAATCGGCGAGGGGAACCCAACGTCTGCTGTCCATTCAGGGCCTGCACCGGACAGAGCTAATGGTCAGGGAATGTTTTGATCTCTGCTCTGATGCCCCAAGTCAATGGTTCACAGCAGCAAGCAACAATGTCTTAATGTCACCCCTGCCTTGGTCTTCCTTAGCCTAGTTGGGGATCCCAGACTGGGACTAGCTTTTTCCTAGACCAATGTCACCCTGGACCTCACCTGTCTGCTTTTGTAAAAGGTGCCTTGCGGCTGGACTACCAATGCTCTTTCTTGCAGCATTTTCTCTTGGGGCCCGGTCTGCAGATCAATCCTCTTCCTTTCCACGCTCTTAGCTTTCTAATGCTGCCAGATGCCCAACCTCCTGCCATGAGGCACATATCAAGGCAGCATCACTTGAAAGACTGCACCCCAAGCTTAGGAGCAGGTGGTTTTGGGTTTCCAGCACTCTAAAAAACAAAGTGTTCAGGATAGCACCCTTCCTCCCACTTGCTACCGATTGGGTGGGGGGAGAATAGACCACTGAATGGTCGCAGGTGGAAACTCACATGAGCGCCCCCGGCATGGGAAGGAGGGGGAGATGCTTATGGTTTCAGGATGCTGCTATTTCCTTTTCCTCCTAAAACCCCAACAATGCGGCATGCCATTTTATTGCACAATTACACCTTGTAACCACAACTTTCTCACATTCCAAACATGCTTTCAACCCTCCAGGTGCATCAACAAATTATTATCTGTTTGAAAGAGAAAACACACACGTATTTGCAAGGGATTATCCCGTAGCCCCAGTGCTCTTTACGACAATGTGGCCTACAGATCAGTCTTGTAATGCAAGAATTAGCCCTGGGCAACTGGATGCAGAAATGTCAGAAGTAAGATGCTGGCTATGTCCCCCTTCTACATTCCTTTCTGCTTCTCCTTAGCAAGTCACATCCTTCCGGAAGCTCCTGAGCAGGGCATGGCACCAATGGTCTTCATGCCTTATCAATCTAGTGGTCGACTGCATCTAATCATGGAGGTTCTAGTGGTCTAGTGGCTGACTGCATCTAATCATGGAGGTTCTATTTACTCATAACCCACCATTGTTACTCCCAGCACAAGTCTGTCTACTTCAGTGTTTCGCAACCTCATCAGCTGTAAGATGTGTGGACTTCAACTCCCAGAATTCCCCAGCCAGCATAGCTGGCTGGGGAATCCTGGGAGTTG